GATGTTCGTGTTACTAAGACGTTACATACTCGTGCATCTCGGTATTGGGTTACATTGATCTACTGTTTTGTGGACATGCAAGATTACAGATAATCGCAGTGGGAGTGGGACGTCGGTCCCCTCTCTATGCCAATTTCCTCTGGTCACATCGCTTGCCAGGAGCCAAACTATCACTCGGAGAGCACGTTTGACGACAATTGTTACGAGGTGCCACAAATAAACGGAGACAGAGGGCAAGACCAAACAATGTTTGGAGGAGCCATGGTTCCCAAAAGCAATGACCGTGGGGCATGGGGCAGCAGCTCATTCCAGAGACAGAGCAAAGGGGATGCGTGCAGCTCTCGTTTTCGAGCAGTGCGACCAAAGGTAATTAACCTCGATCTAACTGGCCACACTTGGTAGGGGTCCTGGGGAATCCCGACGCGGACCCTGTCACGATCAATCTCCCAACATTTTTTTGTCGCCTTTTGAAAATTTGCTGGTGGGTCGATTCCGGGCGGAGGTTAATATTAAAAACCACAGGCACAAAAGAACCAGGCCTAGTAATAGAGGCAATAATCGTGGGATCGAACAATAGGAAACGGAGGCACGGAGGCGAAAGGAGAAGAAACTAGCGTAGAAGGGAGGCAAGCGAATCAGGACACCGAGCAAGCGGTAGAGGAGCACAGGGATAATACGGTGGAAGCAGACTGCTCTCTCCCAGCGAAGTGAATGCCATTAAATCTCGCTTGGTCACAATTAGCGGCCAAAGAAACCTCACAACTTCATTATTGCATCTCTACATATTGATGGAGCTGGATTGTCAGCGAGGGAAGGACAAAGTGCTGAACGCCCCGAATTAATAATGGGCGGTCAGCGCGCGTGCGTTCAGTCCTCGTACCCTCCCAACAACGATCAATTCGAGTGGTGTCTCCCCTGCACCCAACCAGCCAACGTCGCCTTTTGTTCCATGGCTAGCCCAGTCCAAATTTTTGAGGGACGGAGAATGGGTGGCAGGTATCCAGGGATGTAAAGCTGCAGAGGAGACAAGTAGGTCGGCATGTACCATGAGGCCCCGATCAATGTATCTCCACCGTCGAGGCGAAAAATAAACTTGGACGATGGAAATAGTGTCGAACAGGGGCACAGCGGAAAGGTCCTCAAAAAAGCAACAATTGCCGTGGTCAAGCCACTCCGAGCGCCGCCCCCAACTGAGGCGAGCGATGGAAGAGGAGGCGCGCGCACAGTCACGACGCGGCGCAAGCCTCCAAGACCCAAAGACCCCACGTGTGGTGCCCGTCTCTCGCCATTCACTGGCTCCCCGCCTTGGAGGAGTGACGCGGCTTCACGCCATCTCGGCCAAGTTGATCGTCAAAGGGGAAGGGGAAGGGGCTGATCAGGGTTTGGCGACAGGTCCCTCTTTCTCGCGCCTTCTTCTGGAGGGGGCACCGAACGAAACGATCGCTAGCTTCCTCAATAGCGTAACAGCCCTTCCAAGCGAGGGGGCAATCAAGAAGCGCTCATTCGTTGTGGTGTGGAATAGGGCCTATCCTTTTTTCTCTTTTTTTTTTTTTTTTTTACTCGAGTGCTCCTCAACTTCCCTTTTTCTCGGCTAGGGAAGACGGGTGGGCCACTGGGAGGGAGGGCCGAAGAGAACAAGGGAGCAGAGGTGAGGCGCTAATGTTTTCCCCTTTTGCTCTCTTCATCGTTGGTCGCGATGGGCTAGAAAATCTTCGATGGCGCGCATTACCAGTGACAACCAAGTTCAGCCAAAGGCAAAGTACCGGGCTCAAAGGGGTTTCTCCTGATTTCTCGAGTCTCTTCGGCAACGAGATATTCGCACCAACGCGACTCAAAGCCTCCGTGATTCGGATGCAACTGGTGTCAACCCATGTCTCATCAGGCGATGAGCAGCGCTGCCATGGACGACGGCTCCCAGGCCAGGCGCAGAGACGGCCAGCCATGAGCCCGGGTGGGGTGGTGCGCTTCTATCGAACCGAGTTTTGGAAACCGTTGGCGATGTTTTGCCCCTCTTGTTATCACTTCTAGCTTGTGGCGATTGGAGGCCTGGCCATGATGGTCGCCTTGGAGGGGCGCGGGGTGTCGGCCCGCTATCAAGAGAGCCTGGGCGGGGGACATCAAATGTTTTTTGAGGGCCAGTGTCCTTGTGGGAACCAGCCAGAAGAGTCACAAAACTTGGTTTACATCAATGTCTTTGGTATCTTTGAGGAGTCACCTCTCGAGCTCACTGCTGCCTATCTATAGAAATGGATCTACTGGATGTATCGTAAGATTGTTGATGATGGGCCAAGTGATCAATGAATCGCCGCATAAGCGCATTTACCGACACTGCCTGGGGAGGTCGAAACCGTCGGCACACCCGCCAACGGATTACACGAGTTTGGTCCGAGTTGGATCACCAGTTTCTTGTTCTTTTTTTCCTTTTTCTTTTTCTTTTTTCTCACCTCGAGGGATTCAGCAACTGTCTCTCGTCCACCCCAAAATAGGATAAACTCTCGTTGCCAACTTTCCAGCCTTTCTCGAGATGCTAAAGTCGCAGTAATGATACTCACTCGTCCATAGGTCATCCCCCTGCTCTCACGTCACTCGAGGCTGAGAAGGGCTGGGACAAAACTGACCAACCGTACGCCAGACAGACAATTGTGGCGCACTTGACAGGAAGATTGATGAAGCCATCGTCAAGTGACGGACTTTTATTTTACCTTTCTCTTCGGGTGGTTTACCTTGTTTTATCTCTCTTTTTCGGGGGCGACAGAATAACATTCTATAAATTTTTTTTTTTTTAATACGAACTCACTTCTTCTCCTTAAAAGTACCCTCGTTATACAATTCGAGTACCTCTCTGACCTCTTCGCCGTACACACACACACACCACCTCGTCCCACCCACTCCTTCACCACCCGCACACCACCCACTCACCACCCACTCACCACCTCAGCTGTTCCTCGCTGTTGGCTAGGCTGGCCGCCTTCGAGCCCACAACACACGCAGCGGCCGCGATCAGGCCGAAAATGGCAACAGACCAAGAATTGACGCCGGATTGTACCTACGTCAAATAAAGAGGAGCGTTGATCGCTCGAACAATCTAGAATCAGGAACAACTGTCGTCACATGGCAGTGGCTTACAGCCATCAGCCCCACCTAAACCAATATATCCCCCTTCCCATCACTTCTACAAGTGGATGTAAGCGAGTATCTCGTCTATTAATCAAAAGAAAATGCTCGTGTTTTAGATTCATCCACCACCATTGCTCTCACGAGCGGAGGCATGCATCCACGTTACTCATCGTTTTTCTGCCTCCTCAGGCCCTTACTCACATTGGAAATGTCCGTTTTCCCCTCAAGTGCTCCTGCCGGCGGCGGGGCCTCAGTCATAGCCCGCACCCGCACTTCTTACGCCCTCCCTCCAAAGCGGCTCAATCCCGTCTATGTCATGACTTGCATCGGCTCTTCGGATCCTTCCTAATCCGGCGTCTACTTTTAATAACGCAGACGTGGAGGCACATTTTTAAGTACTCGTTTTCAACAACCCCTAGTGCTATGGAGGGGCTTTGCCGCCATGCTCTCAATCATCGTGTCCCTGTACACTAGGCAACGTGCCACAAGCTGTCAAAAGACCCTGCCTGATCTAGCATGTTGCTGGAGTTTTTATCTTGTGCCGTATTTTTGTGCCTCTCGGCAACGCAAGAGCGGTAAGAGAGGAAAGTGAAAGAAAAGGAAAGAAAAAAAAACTAAAAAAGGGAAAGAGAGAGGGAAAGATGAAGACAAACGAGGTGAGTGAATGGAACGAACTGCCCCACTCAATCACTTCAATGCTCAATGCTATATGGGAGAATAGAGAAGGGAAAGTGCAAAAGAAGACCAAAAAAAGGCACAAAACCAGACGTAAAAAGAGAACAAAAACATGGGAAGAAGAAAAAGAAGATAAAAACTACCGAAATCTCCATCGCCGTTAAACAAGGCCAGAGACTTCCGGTGCCGATCAAAATCACACCAAAGACTGCAGGAGCTGGACATCAACGTCACAATTGCACCTCAGAGGAATTCGCGTGCCTCGGAGTAGGAGAAAACTCGAGGAGAAAAGATAAGCTTTTTCTCTGGTTCAAAACGTTGCACCCTCGATACCCGAAGGGGAGCAATTCTACAATCTATGATGTAGCATGGCGCGGCCTTTGTGCACCTGCAAGTCCGTTCGGCCAGGGTACCGTCCTCCTTTGACATGGCGCAGAATTGCGTTACATTCTCGAGCTGGGTTCGACCACCTTCATATTCTTGGAGACCATCCGTGGGGGACACACTGGGCCAAGGTACGAACCACTCACCCGGGAGGGTGTGTGCCTCCATGTCCACCATGATGGCACGAAGAGAGGAGTAGAAAAGGCCGAAAAACTTAGCTGTTTTTTTGGCTCTTCTTTTTCTTGTTTCCTATTATGTGGAGCCGCGACGAAATATCACGGTATGATGATCGTGAGCGAGGTTTAGGTGCTCTAAGAGCTTCCAACAACGGCGATCGTCATTCTAATGGATTACCCTTTCGGAACATAGGTCTAGGTTTCCGAAAAGGACCCTCGGAAGGGCCCAGGCCAGGTGCATTGTTGGCAAGCCGTATCGGAACTCGTGTGGCCCAGAGTGATGAGTCCCCAATTAGCCACACAAGACTGGGGAGACGGGAGCAGGGATGGGGGCAAAAGCAACCAATTCCGTCCAAGGGATAATCGGAGGGGGAAAACGGATATTAAAATCAATAAGTGATAGAAAGAAAAAAGAACAGAAGAAGGCCAGGAAAAATGCAGGCAGGCGCGGGAAAGCCAGGGTGGGGAGCAGAATCTGGTTAGAAACGCTCGCCGATCAATGTGAATCAAAAGGAATCGGACGCTGGCGAGGCATACTATGTAGTGTACAGCAAGGGCAACCAAAGCGCCCTCAAACAGAGACAATGACGGAGGTCCAAATTGCATGGGACACGACCCGACCAAGCAATCTACCGATATCCATCCACAATGGCTATCCTTCTCCGTTCGACCTTCCAAGTTCTCCTTCTGGCTCTGGCGGGCGGAGCCCAGGCTTCAAGAACGGAAGCAGTGGTGAGACGTAGCGCGGTATTCCTTTTATTCGATGATCCCACTTGGTCCGACTCCACCCATCAAGTTAAAGCAGGGAAAGAGGCAGTGACCGCAAGCTGCATATTTTACCCGATCTCCTCGCGGATGCAAGGTTATCTCGGTACAATTGGCCAACAGGAGGGGCCCACCCGAAAGCGACGTACTTGGCTAGCAACCACAACTTGTGGCTTGTGCTCCACGATTGCGCCAACCCAGACCCACCTCCGTTCAGTTTCCCAATTCGAGTCCGGCGGTTTTCCCTGACCAGAAAGAAAAAAAGGAAAGAAAAAAAAAAAAAAAGGTACTTCCGTCAGTACAACCACCAGTACTTCCATCGGTACAGTCAACCTTGCCCGCCACAAGGCAGGGCTGACAGGGGATACATTGATACCGATACAGACGGGACGGTCTCTCGTCGGCGTCCCAAGCTCTGGGGAGACTTTTGACACAAAAACATTTATGGATCGCTGGTCCGTCCTTTAGTTTCCCATCGCCAAATTTTCCTCCGGGGGCTTGTGCCAGGTTTTTCTTTTTTTCTTTTCTTGTTCCTCTTCTTTTTCTTTTCCTTGTGGAGGAGGTGCTTCATTCTTCCCACATCTACCTCTCCTGACCCCAGATATACTTTCTTACATCTTGCTCTTTTTTCCTTCTTATCATTTCTCTATTTTAACTTCACCAACGGAGCAAACAAGGGAAGAAGCAACGATAAATAACCTCCTTGTCCCCCCCTCTCAGCCTCCCCGGCCCACTCAGCGGTTCTTGGCTCGTCGCCGCGAATCGCAATCCTGAACGACAATGTCTACCCGATCCACGACGCAACACTCCCGGCATCTAGTCCGGGCCGACATGATGCCAATTATGCAGCTTCTCGTCCTCTTCTTCGCAGGGAGCGCAATGGCTGCGAATTATCCCGTATCCATCGAATCGACGAGGCTCGTCGCCAGCTTCGATGACCTCGCCCTAGCTTCCTGCCCGGCAAGCTTTCTTCCGCCGACGCTACGCAACGAGACCGCGAACGGCCGCCACACCTTCCATCACGACGACATATTAGAAACGCCCATATACCTCGAGAGGTCTCGTTCCGAAGACGTCCCGCTATCTACACAGCCGCTCCAGCGCCCATCAACCCCGCCGAGCACTGCAACTCCAGGACGATACCATCGCATCAAGTCCTAACTTCGGCGCCGCCTATACATCGCCGCCTCGACCTGGTCCGGGGCCTCCTGCTCGACAACTGGAGGCAGAAGCGCGCCGTCGCCACGACTGGGTTGATACACCTCTTCCTCTCGAGCTCCAAGAGGATCGACGTACCCGGTGAGGTCGAAGTCGACGGGGAGGCCGCCTCTGGTCTCAGACCTCGCAATTCCAAGGTGCATGTTGGGGCTGCTGCTGTTGCGCTCCTCAGCCTGGCCACCGTGATGTGCATGCTCTGAGCAGATTTTCTGTTTCAGAAGCCCTCAACCAAACAACACACGAAAAGGGCCGCGTGTTTTTTTAACCCTCCCTCTTATATCCCCCTCCCATGTCGGCTCTTCTTCTTCACCACATACCCTCGTATTGGCCTTGTTTCGACATTACGTGGACCACCATCCACCCAAACAACGCCAACCCATTATTATTTTTTACGCCGACGACACTATTTTATCTCCAGTCCCATAATGGACTTTCGCCATCCCATCAACTTCTTTTCATTTTACCATCTTCGCCTTGTTGCATTAGAGGAGGAGTGTCTGGCACGCCAGGCTTGGGGTCTTGAGAGGCCCCGAAGAAAAAGAAAAGAAAAGAAAAACTTTGGTCCACACATGCAACCGATGGAGCAGTTGTGGACTAAAATGCGCACTACGACTTTGTTTCTTGGGGCTAGCGCAGGTGCTTGAGGTGTTTCGGGGCAAACATTATTTTTTTCGGGATTGGACCAACAGTTTTGAAACTTCACAATAGAGTGAAGTCGACTATGGCGGCGTTTGGCTTTTTCCCCCTCCCATCATCTTTTTTCTTCATTCTTCAGTGTCCAACTAAACAATACATAGACGCAGGAACCTGCTATAAGTCTAATGGGAGATGATTATCATGATACATTTTTAGACATTGCTTTTCTTTTGCATGGCTCCGTATCCATTTTTGAGACATGTCCGCCTGCATGATCGGTCCAAATGTTTTACAGAATTCCCCTTGCAATTCAAACATCTGCCGTGGTCGTGACGAGCTCAGGCCCCTTGCCAAAAATAAAAATTAAAGAAAAAAACGCCTATTATCGACGCCCGTGTCCATTAAGACCCCTCATTCAGGAATCAAGGGTTGTGGCTATGCACGATCCTCCCGAAGGGGGCTCCTGGTGTTACATGTCTGCAATGAACAAATTCCCAAATGCAAGGCTTTCTTCATCCTCCAGCTACCTCTTTTTCTCCTTATCTAAAGCGCCGGAAAAGGAGGGTCATCAAGTACTGTTTGCTTAATCGGCTTCTTGCCATCGGGCGCGCTGAATACCCTGATAAGAGGTGATCCAACAGTGACAGTGGCCTAGAAGGTCAAGGAGGTGAAGAATCGAATGGACTTGAGCACTGAGGACTTGTCGAATTATCCTGAGCCGGGGCCTCTTGCAACGGCTGGTGTCAAAAGCTCTCCTGCATTCCAGCGAGGAGCTCGGAGGCGGTCCCATCAATCCATCCATGATGTAATAAGGTGGACCTTTAGAATGCAACTAAAGAAATAGAAGCAGTTACTTTCACCCCGATACAATTGCGACAGTGAACAAGAACGTCTTCTTGCAGTTTCCTGCGACTGCAGCTGGTCAGGATTGAAGGGTGTAGGTGGGGGAGAAGGACTGGAGGGGGCATGTACGTCATCCAAGCCTTCTCGGCATCGAGAGCCGAAAAAGGCGAGGCAAAGTTGGCAACTTGGTCATCATCTTTGCCAAAACGGCTAGTAGACCGGAACTCGACGTAAGGCTGGATCTGCGAAGGTGCCGCGGGCTGAAATGCAACCGCAAGCGAGGAGAGGCTGCCTTGATACTTGGAGTTGAGGAATGTGTAAGATGTGAGAAGCACGAAAACCCAGTCGGCCATTGGTGGAATTCACTGCTCTTGGCCAAGGGACCCGATGCTTCGCGGATCAAATCAGCATATCTCCTATCAAGGTGTACTATGGAATGTATCTTCTTCCCTGGGCGGCGACGTCAACATCTATTTTATGCCCTCGCTTGGCCGCTTGGTCTTTCGGGGCGATTCGTTTTGGGAGAAGATTTACAACATGGGTGTTGGCGAAGATGGAGCCGGACGCCCCTCATAAAATGAAGAAGAACGAAGAGGGGAAACGCGCCCACGAAACTGATCGAGTTGCAGCAGAGCAGACGTAGACATCATGAAAGATGAGTCTTTCTTGATTTGAAGGCCATGGTTATACTAAATTGTACGAAGGAACATCATCTTAGTTAGCGCTTGTCTCCGGTCGAAGCTGCCAGGTTCACGAGATCCTCCTTGAGCTTCATCTCAATATTGCCATGCCCTCTTCATCCGTAGTTTTGCCAGAAAGAACTCCCCGTTTTGGGTGAGAGGAAGACCCACTTTCCGAATAGGGAAATCTGGAGGTTCCCACAACGTGTGTCCTCGCAAAATAAATTCTCAATTTTTTTCTGGCACTGCCCAGTAGATACAGGTCACGTGTTCAGGGTTTCTCTGGGCTCCTGGCAAGTGCACCAACCAAACACCAAAATTTCTCCCCTCACAAAAAGATCACAAGTTGAGACCACTCCTTGACATCCCATCACCAACCCGTCAATTCCACAGCACCACCGCAAACATGAGTGGCCCTGCCCTTAACAAGATCGACCCCAGCAGCTCCTCGAGGCAGAAGCCCTCCGAGCTCGAGCAGGGCCTCGCCCAGGCTCTCTACGACCTCGAGACCAACACCGCCGACCTGAAGGCTGCTCTCCGACCCCTTCAGTTCGTCTCCGCTCGTGAGGTGAGAAAAATTCCTTGAAAAACCATTAACCCCTCTCAGACCTCGAAAACCGAACCATATATCCGTCCTCTCTCCTTGACGTCGAACCACGTAACTGTGCTCGTTTGATTTGCCGAATCGAAAGACAAGAATAGTCCGGGTCAAATGCGATGTCGGGTCGCAACCCCTCCGAGCTGAGGCGTGGGCAATTTGTGTGCGCTCTGTCGCACCGCTTGGTCCATCCCCTCACGCTCGACACGAAGAGCTGCGAACGATTCAATTTTGGCCCGGCTGGCTTCATATTGGCCCGCAGCGATGCGGTCGACGTTGCTGGAGAGAGAAACGGGAATAGGGCGGGAAGCGGTCCAAGGCTAGTCCTGGAGCTCGCATGCTGACTTGTGATCTTGATTAGATCGAGGTTGGCCACGGCAGGAAGGCTATTGTCATCTTTGTCCCCGTCCCTTCCCTTCAGGGCTTCCACCGAGTTCAGCAGCGGTAAGTGTTGGGACCCCTATGGATGAAGATCTATCCAATCCCCACGAGTGATTGGTCATGAGGGCGTGTACTAACTCGCGATGTGATAGCTTGACTCGTGAGCTTGAGAAGAAGTTCTCTGACCGCCACGTCCTCTTCCTCGCCTCCCGCCGCATTCTCCCCGCCCCCGCCGCTCTGCTCGTGCCCGCAACACCCAGAAGCAGAAGCGTCCCCGTTCCCGAACCCTCACCGCCGTCCACGATGCCATCCTCACCGATCTCGTCTACCCCGTCGAGATTGTTGGCAAGCGCATCAGGACCAAGGAGGACGGCAACAAGATCCTCAAGGTCGTCCTTGACGAGAAGGAGCGTGGTGGTGTTGACTACAGGCTCGACACCTACTCTCAGGTCTACCAGAAGCTCACTGGCCGCAACGTCAACTTCGAGTTCCCCCAGGTCGCCTCTGAGTTTTAAGTCGACGTAGCAATGAGGGCGGAGTTTTGTTGATGAGGGCATGTGGAATTTGGCATCTTTGGTTGGTTCAAAAATAAAAATCGTTTCGACATGGACATGGCGCACGGAAGGGTAGCTTGATTTTTCCAATACAGGCTCCAAAAATGATGAATTTTCCAGTCCATGGGAACTAGTTTCGTAACCGTGCAAAATACACACAAGCCGCAAAAGGCTTCTTTCCCGAATCATGCTGTAATATGGGGTATCATTTTTTGTATGTCCCTCGGCAGATCAGTCCGAGTATAACAATTGTCTAAGAACGAAGCTATGTGTGTGTGTGTGTGTGTGAGAGAGAGAGGGGGCATCAGAGATGGAATAACAGAATCCGTTTACTCTTGCATGATTCTCCCAACTCCTAGTAAACTCCAATACGCCAGTTCTCTCTTCTCTTTGGCATTTTTGTCCCTACCCGGCATGCTCCCAACTTCATGCCCTTCCGCCTCCCACTCCACACGCATAAACATTGGAATCTCGAGCATGTCCTCATCCTCCCTCAGGGGCTGTCGTCCACATCTTCGCCCTCGCTCTTGGCCCACTTGAGCCCGTCCAGCCTCAACGACGCCGGGACCACCTCAACGATGATGCTGACCCAATTTCTGCCCCTTTCCCACACCTTGCCCACCATGCCGTGGCCGGATCCGTCGTCGGCACCCCCGATGACCCCGCCATCGTATGTCGCTTGCTAGGGTCTTTGTAGTCGTCTTTGAGGGCGTCCTCCCACATGTCCGTGTTGGCGCCAATGGTGAACTGGGGACATAAAACCGTGACTTTGCTGGGAAAACGGCCGGGCGTCCGCGGCGGCGTGCCGAGCGTGACCTTGACCTCCTCGAAGATGGGGTTCTTGAACGTGAGGATGAACTGGGCCGTCTGACCCGGCCGCAAGAGCAGGGCTGCTGCGCCTGCAACAGGTTTGGGGTGCGAGGAGTCGAGGGCCCGACGGTGGGGGTGCCGGGCGTCTGAGAGGGCGGGGAAAAGGGGCGGATGGCGATGGTGGGAACGTAGTGCGAGGCCACGAGGTTGATGCGATACCGAGTGCTCGTGACTTTTGCGTCCGGCTTGGTGATGATGTGTCGGCAGACGGGGCACCGCTTGGAGCGCTTCGTGCGCAAAAGGGTTGGGATGGGGCGGAGGTCGTCCTGGGACCCGAGAGAGCCCGTAGAGGGTGGTTGGGCATCGCGCTGGTCCGTCGAGACGCTATCGTACCACGTGCTCCCGAGAAGCTTATCCACGGCGGCAGACTCGTCCAGCTGCGCCAGCTTCAGGCCGTCATCCGTGGTCAGGGCCTCCCGCATGATGGTGGATTTCGTCATGCTCCTCTTGCCCCCGAGGCTCCCTCCCGTATACAAGCTCATGATGCGCGAAAGCGTCCCCGGCGACGAGAAGCCCAGGTCGCCAAGTCCCGGCAGGGAGCCTGTGGCCGCGCTGTTGGCGTCGGCGAGCTGCGTCTGGTAAAACGACTTGAGATGGGCAAACTGCAGGTCGGCGTCCAGCTCGGCATCGAGGAGGGGCGGGGCGTCGCGGTCCTCTTTGCGCCTGTCGCGGTATTCGCGCGGGGAGAGCTTGTGCTGCCCGCCGTTGCGGATCTTGACGAGCTGGGAGTAGAGGCCGCTGGACTTTTCGAAGCGTATGTCGATCTCGGACGAGGACCAGTGGCAGTACGTGCAAGTCAGGACGTATTTGGTCGTGGGGATGACGGAGCGCCTTCGGGGGCGAGGAGGTTAGGGTCGGCCGGGCTGTCGACGCCTGTGACGGCGAGGGGGCGCCGATGCAGACGGGACATTGGAAGCAGCTGCGCGTACACCTAGAAGCGGGGCACCAGCGTGAATTAGCATATATGACTTGTTACTATCTCGTTTTGAACCCCTTTTATTGACATCGACATGAATGGACGGGATGCTCCGCTCACCTGTTGCCTTCACTCTTGATGTTGCTGCTCGGCACCTCGAACAGGCAGCTTGGACAGTAATAGGTGACAATCTCCTCGTTCACGCAGCGCTGGCAGCGGATTTGCTGGCAGTCTCCGCAGTACATGAGGTGCTCCAGCGGGTAGAGGCTGTAGTTTGAACGCGGGGCGCGGGGTCAAAGGTCCGATCATCGTCGCCGTACCCATCTTCGCCGGATTCGGCCGCTGTTCCAGAGGTGTCGCTTGTGGAGTCTGTGGCGGAGGATGAGGAGGAGCAAGGACACTGTATGTAGGTATAGGGGGCGGCGGATGCCATTGTGGTGAAACTCCGTCTACTTGAGGGGGAGTATCAGGTTCAGTACGGGCCCATCCTTTCGACACTTTGGAAGCTCAATCTGTGAGTCGGCTGTCTGGCATACTGAGGAGGGGTGATGTTTGTCTCGATGCCATATTCGGGAATCAGGAGCTCCTCGAGTGGGATTGAGACATGGCGGAGCTGGAACCTATCAGCTGATTGCAGCCGACGGCTTTTTGGCAGCCCTCTGCACTATTTTTTATTTTTCCAGCTTCAGCAGCTTGCGTAAAGAACGAATACTCGACAGCCTAGTTTCAATTTCAAAGCAACCTGTATATACTGAGAGGAAAACGAGTTATTTCAATTACTCTTCACATGAGGAGACGACCGTGGAGGACGTGGCGCCATTGGAGGGCTGTTCAATATCTTCTTCTCCAGTGCATTTACCTACTTGTCTTCGGTGCATGCACACAGTGACCTGACATGTCCGACTGGCGCCCACATGGAAAAGAAAAGTGAGGCCTGGCTAGTAAGTGTTCTGTAAAAGCACGACGTCCCCGTTGGCGCTAGTTTCCAGGATATCCGACAGCAACAGATCATACTCTGAGCCTTCCACGCGGACATCGCCTTGGAGGGCCGGGACCTTTCTTTCTCCCATGTGTCCCGCCGGTCCGGATGGGACATCCGCTCACGTCAGACGTGCCCATGAGGCACCAAACTTCAGAAGCTCCTGACAATTTCTGTCCCCTCTAGTCGAAATTTCCGTTGACCGCCCTGGCTAACATGGTCCGGATTCAAACTCTATTTGGGGAAAAGGAGCAGATCGTCAGGTCTCGGGGGATTGATTGGCAGACAAGAAATATTCTTCTTCCCCTCCCTCGCCTCCGATTCGGTCTTTTGGGCTTGACGTGGCCAAAGTCAAAAAAATCGGGATCCAGTGAAAAAGAAGGAAAGGAAAAGAAAAAAGTCAAATCGAACATGGTAACGTAGCCGAAAAAGAGGAAGCGAGAGAGCGAGTCGGTTCTGGGACATAACCAGAATAAGACAAGTGCCAACCTATCCGCCACAATCACAGGTCCAGTGGCAACCAGAAGGGAATGCCACGCATGTGGATCGTCGCTCAAGTGTTTTGTTGTTCAGGCACAAAGACTCATGTGCTACGTGTTGGTTAGAGGCAGGCCCTTGAGCGTTGTCTCCAAGAGCTGACCACCTTTCAGCTCATGCAAATTGAAATTGAAGCCTTGTAGCCCCTCGTCACTCTTATTTCCTGCTCAAACCTCTCTGCTGAGAGTGATGTATAAACGGTAAAAGCCAGGGAGAATAGGTTGTAGACTGGCGTCTTGTGAGGAGCGTCGTTCAAACGTCGAATTCATCCATCCATCCATGGATCCATCGATGGGCCAAACTAATAAACTCACAAAGTGGCGGCAGGGTACAGCAGAGGGTGGACGAACACCTCAGGAACCCCACTAAATCAAGCCACTGCCAGATCAAGAGAAAGCCCCCTCGATCTAGACAAAGCTCAGGAATTCGGTCGCGGAAGACAGGACAGGAACCGAACATGGACCGACAATTGACATACACACAGTGTCACGGACCAGACCATGGCACGACTTTCGAGACTTCGAGCCCTCGAGACAGCATGGCTGATTCGAATAACCGTGAGGGCATCCCTAGGATGATATTGAGCCTTCTTAAGACGACGAAATACGAAGAGGTGCATCAGCACCATTCACCTCGACATTGTACGAGTTCTTGGGTGTAAACGACGAAATACGATGCGAGCCCTAGTGTAGGCTCGGTTGAGAAAAGCACGGAGCCGGTTGGATGACCACCACCAGCTCTCTTTGGAGGCCAAGCCATCCAGCCATTTTTGGCATGGTCTGACCACACTCCAAAGTGCGTGCATGCACAAAGCGCTGTGAGCAGGACGAAATGCCCCACCTCTCCTCCTTGGGGTTGGCTTGGCCGCCTGTGGCAAGTGGTGAAGCCCATTGAAAAAATGGCCATTGGTGACTTGGGCCTTATCTTTTCGTGGCTGGAATAGCTCAATATGGATACAAGTAGGAGCACGAACGCACGAACTTGGCGAAAGGAGGAAAGACACCCCACAATGACTCGAGCCTAACGCCTTTCGCGTCCTTCTTGTCTCTTGTCCTCTTCAAGTTCCCTCCACCCCGGAGAAGACCCCCAGTGCAGGAAACCAGTGGCGAGGGCCGGCCATGAGTCGAAATACCGGATGCGGTCTATTGATCTTGATCCTCATTCTTGTCTCGACCCCAGTCACTCTTGCTAGGAGATGCTAGAACCATCTGCTATAAGATATCCCGATCATCTTCCGTAAAGCCCAATTGATACCTCGTAATTACTACTAGGCAGGGGCAACTGCATGAATATCGCCCCCTCCAGAACTACCGGATTCTATCAGGGCTGGATGACCAGGGTGTTAATTGATCGATACACTACTTGATCGAGATGGGAGGGGTAACATCAATGAATTGGATTGTTGTTGTGGTCTCATTGAAGGAGAAGTACATACAAGTACGAAGTACGAATGGACAGACTAGCAAAACGTGGTTGTCCCACAGCATCCGTCCATCGGTGATCCCTGGGGTGGCGTGCATAGAGGAGCGAGAGGAGATGGGGAATAGGATGGGGAAAAACTTCCGGATCACCCAGACACTGGCAAACGCGGGCTCAGTCCCACAATGAAAATGACGAATCCGGTAACGAGAACAATAAACAACAATAACGAGCGGGCATGCCTGTCAGAACAAGAAATCATGCTGTTTCATGGCTTTCTGGCAGAGCAAGCCGCGAGGATGCGTGTTACGAGGTATTGCGTTGGCTCGATGTTCCAAATATTTCGAGGTACCTCCTGGTAGGGCGGCGCATGACATCACGTCTCCAAGTCTGGCCTTGAATTCTCCGACACTCTTTAGTCGATGGTGCACGCAGGCCGTTGCGTCCCCAAACAAACTCGCAACTCTCCGTGCATACGGGAGTAGATGGAATAAATATGGCATAGAAAAAGGAAGCAGAAACGGAAAGAGTTGATGGAGAGGAACCAAGGCAGGTGAGCCATGGATGGATGATGATGATGGTGGAAATGCTACTTGGCAAAGTCCTCCACCTCCACCAGGCTTCTGCCTCGGAGCAGAGGCCAGGACTGAGACACAAAATCCCCACCACCTGAGGTCGAACAGACGAGAGAACACCGAGACAGTGTTTGCTCATGGGACTTGAAGAAAAGACATTTCCTGAACCATCGGTTCTCCTCGAGCAACGATTGCTCGGTTTCTTGAGCAACCACAGGGCGATGAGCGTCAGTGTGATGGTGAGAACCCGCGATGGATTGATAATACTACACATGGGCCCCAGAGGCCAGGCGGGGAGGATTTTCTTCGTCCGCTTCCTTCTCCTTTCTGTGATATCTCTTCGCGCAACCGACCGACACGTACGAGCCACGAAATTTCCAAGTTCCCTCCGGCGAGCGCGGATTCCCCTCTTCACTTCATCGAAAAGCGCTGTTCTGGGTGTTGCGATCAAAAGGGAGCATCCAAAGTGGGTCTCACTGCGCTCCTTCCTGCACGTCTCGACGCTCGAAAATTCACTTGTCCAGGAGAGAAGGTGCGTCGATATTGGTTTATGCCTTCCAAAACCAGAAGCTAAGTCCTCAAGGGGTTGGTAGGACATGCATATGCGAGGAGGTATCGTCAACCAGAGCAAAGCGATCCTTCCATATTGCCCACGCGCAGTCTCCTTTTAGGAACTTCAGCAACGACCATCCCAGCAGCTGGCCCACCTTCCGTCAAAGCAGCCGTGGTACCCTACCATCAGTGTTCAATAGTGTCCAGGTGCTAAGGGTACATCGTGCCGGCAGGACCCAACCCGGGCGAACCGCACCTGCTTTTACCGCTCAGGGCTAGTGACGGATTAGCTGCGTCAGCTGGTGCTGACCACAAGGGCCGGAAAGAAGGGCCAAGAAAAGAAAAAGAAAAAGGGAAGGTACAGTAAACGCGAAGGCAGGAACGGGAAAGAAAATAATAGCGAAGCGATACAAGGAAAGGAAAAAGAAAAAAAAGAACAGGCAAAAAAGGAAATGTGTGGGGTTTGAAGAAGGGAAAGAAGGAAAAGTCAAACCCAGGAAACCAACGTAATCGAAGGCAGGCGTCAGCCCAGTACGAACAAGGTACCCACTTGTACCAACGAAATCAGCAACACAGCGAAGCGACTTGCTCCCTCTTGGAATGATGGCGCCAAGCTACAGGCCATACCAGGGTTCAGCCCACCAGTCCCCAGCCAAGGTCACCGCCGCCGCTAATCGCAGCAATCCTCCGTGGATTGCCTGGGCCCTTTATAATGCTCCCAACCCCCGCCAAACCGTTAAACCCGAGCGCGTTCGTCCTTCTGGTCCACGTCGTTTGAGGTCGACGAGAACCTGTCCTAATATGCACAAGATGTCGAACACGGCCTCCCAGTCGAGGGAGCGAGCCAAGTCTGTTGATCGTGATCTTCCTGCCGACAATTACGGCCCCAAGATCAAACTATTCAACGGAGCCACCCGGACCGCAACGGAATGGAATAATTTACGCAGGGTAAGTAAAGAGGGCCGAACCGAACCCGGAAATCTCCTTCAAACATGCTCCGCAGAGGAGGTCGGCCAGTTTTTGGTCGTCATTCTTTCCTTTCCTTCAATGTGCTGCTTATAAGATGGCTGCGGGGGTGGGGCTAAACTTTTAGAAATGCTTCACTCTTTATGCGTGGGGTCTTTTTGCTAACACACCTTATCTATTCAGGACCCGGATCTTTGGTATCCTGGGGGCAATTGCTTGGTGTTTCTATATGCGAAGGGTCAATCTCAGCGAGGGCCTTCTTTCAAAATCCCCTTCTCGGCCCTGCTTCATGCCCATTGCAACCCACTCATCGAGAAGTTCATATCACCGGATTGCGATTCTTTTTCCGTCGACGTCGACTCACTTCACAATCGTTATGCCGAGATCCGCCATGACTCCCTGACCACGAGTAGCTCGCTGGAGCTTTATATCCCACCCCGCCCGGCGCCTCGAAAGCGCAAGCTTTCGCTTACCACCTTGCAAGTCGCAACTTTTTTGCCTGGCTATGTCGGCGGCCCCTTGTCGGCGAGCATCTGGGCTGGGCGCTGGCCGGCCTTATCAATAGCATGCGAGAGCTGAGGGATCCTTGTGCGGAAAATGTGAAGGATCTCATCGATTACATGGAGCAGGAAGGTTATCTGAATATGCGCAACAACCCAAGCCATGCCCTCGCCATCCTCTATGTCGCCGAAACCTATCAACTACGAGGCATGTACGTTGATGCCTTTGCGCATTGTACCGGCATGTTTTGGGATTTGGAAGCCAGCGCTGAATATCAGGTACGTCATCGCATCTTGTATATGCGGGTCCAAAAGGGGGAAAGGTGACCTATTGACACCCAGGATCTTAGTTTACGTCTTTGGCCTCCAAGGATTTACTTTCGCGCGCGCGCCGAGCTTGACTTCAGACTCACTCGAGCCACCTTCCAACTAAGGACCTTTAGCAAGGATGCCTTTAGTGCCTCTGACTCCTGCCTCAAAGGGAGCGCTCTCTCCCACATGGAACGGTTTAGGGGTTTTCTACTCTCCTTTTACACGACCAAACTGGGTCGGTATCCCCCGCCCCCACCTCCCAAGTATTCGGGCATCTTTAGAAAGGACGTGTACCACTTGATGCGAGTCGATTTCGAAAGCCTCCGGGAGCTGTTGGTAGATAGGAGCTCTGCCAATCCTGTGGTTTCTACGTTCTCCCCACCAGACAAGCTCAACATCGACGTCCTTCAAATGATCCACGCATATGACACACAGTGGCGCTATGAGACCCAGAAGCATCCACTCCCCTCCTCCCGGACTTGACCGGCACGACATCCGCCTGGAGACAGATGACACGCCTCAACCGTGGCAGCAAGCTTAAGCCGGATGAGCGTCTCTTGGCCCACGCATCGCTCGTTAAAGCGTATAATGCCGCTAACCCCCACATTATCCACAACGACCTTGTTCAGGCCTACCGGAGATTCGAAGAGGATTTGGTCATGTCCCCGAATAAGCTGGATAAGAAGGAGAAGCTGTCTCTCCCAGACGGCCGGAAGTTGAGGTGGGCGATTGTCTACGCGACTTGCCAGGTTCTTCGCAATATTACAGACGCGCCTAGGGAGGTTTTCGATACTGACGATATCGACTATCACATCGCCATCTCCACCGAGAATCTTCCTCCCTGGAAGAGAGACGCGACTTCTCGGCCCAGGACGCCCAAGCAGCAGCAGGAGAGGGATTCGGCTAGACAACTGGATCAGCAAGACGGTCCGGTCACTCCATCCAAGGGTCCAACAACACCTAGGCATCGTTCAACCCTTTCCGAGGGGCTCCGCTCGCCGTCTCGTCTTGGTCGGTCGATCTCTCATCGGGCCAAGACACTTTCCCAGAGCCTCCAAGCCTCACCAAGCAAGCTCGTCCGTCGCCCACTAAGTGTCTTCAGGAGCCCAGGAGACCAGAACCCTCCGGGGTTTCCGGATACGACTCTGAAGCGCCGACGCGCATGCGGCGCCCGGCCACGGCAGTCTCAGAGATATCTCGACCGGTGACATCTGCTGGCTATGAAACCCGCCGATTCCCCTGTCGGGCCCGCGCGCCAACCTTCAACTCGATCTCCGCAGCAATCAACGCCAAGTACAGATTGAAGAGGCTCCCATGACGGCGACTTCGGCCTCGTCTGTCCACGATTCTGTAGTAAGCTCCAATGGCGCTGGGACAGCGGCGAGCTCCATTGCTACATCCCCAGAGGCGAGCCCGAAACATGAGCGGGCAGAAGTCTGCTGGTCTGAGCCACCACCCGTCCCGCAGCGACGTAGGCGAGAGGTGGTTTCGATGCTGCCGTCTCCCGAGATGCCCCTTCGATCGAACCTACGCCCAAGACCCCAGAGCGCCATCTTCGAATCTCCCAGCAGATCGCCGGCGAGGCAAGCGTTGGCTCCTGATTACGCCATCGATTATGCACAACTTGTGGAGGAGCAGAGAGAGGAGATTTACAAGGGCGAGTGCGACGCCGATGAAAAGCTCATGCCGTCCCCGCTTCGCATCAAAAGAGCGCGGAAAGTGTCGCGTCGTACACTCCCGGAGATGACAACTGTCTTCGAAGGGGGTTCGGCGGACTGGATGAAGCCATGAGCGGCGTGCCTGTTGGAAGGTGGAGGAGGTGTGAAGTGTAACAGGCTCTTCACTCACACGCAAACGCACGGAAACCAGACCCGTGACGTGGTTACCGCCACCTATTTATTTTGTTTCTTCTCCTTTATCTCATGATTTTAGACCTTGGCGATGGACTGGATCACCGGGACACACGGGCACACTCCCAGGAGTGCTGGGTTGGCAGCGGTCGGTGGGATTTTCACTCTGGTTTTGATATTATACCACTTGCACAATGTATTTGTCCCTTTTCCTTTGTTTCATTCTTCCTTCTTCTTTTCTTCTTTGTCTCCCTTTTCATCCATCATTTTCCCTCCTTCAGTCTCGAATTCTCGAAGAAGCTAGATTTCCTTTGTCCACAAGATCACCTTGGAAATTCCCTTCAGATTTTCATGTATTAAATAGATCCATTAAGATGAAGGGCTCTCGACGAGCCCCTCTTTTGACCCATTTACCCATTTCCGAACACTGGATTGTCCGCGCTCATTGAAGACCACAACTAGCAAGAAGAAATGGAACAAAAAGAAGATGGGAAAAAAGCCGAATCATTATATATGTATGGTTAAGAATAGATCGCCCGCGAGGGCGGCACGTGGAGAGGAACCCAATTCCCCAGCAATTACATGCTCTCCTCGGCCTCAGCGCCCTCTGGTCGAAAATGTGCTATGGATGCCGTTGTCTCGTCTCTTTGTCCTTGGCGCGTTTTGAGTCATCATCGTAGCCAAATGCGCCAAACCCCTCGCCTATTTCCTAGCGCGTCATTTCTCCCCTCTGTAGCCCTATTTGTGGCGTCGGGCACCAAATACATGTCCTTCGTCAGGCAAAGGATCACCGTCGGGTGCCACGTCATGAACTGCCGCGAACTTCGGCCGGACGGCTCCTCGAAATTTACTCAGACTTGTCGTGGCTAGCTAGAGTGAAGGCATCGAGGATATCGGAGCCCATGGAAAAGATCATGTAAGTAGGGAAGACGAGCCACGCGCCACTGTATTGATAGAGGTGATGGTTAGCGCGTCACGCGTCGCTTGATCGTGGTGGGAGGGGGTCAGCGAGGACGAAGAGCGAACTTACTTGGGGATGATCCAGAGGAAGATGAGGTTCACAAGAGAGTTGTGGCCAATGTTGTCGAAGCCGGCATAGTACTCGTTGAGCCCTGCATAAAGGAGGGCCGTCAGTGAGATCTCATCTTTGGCGAGACGCAAGGGGCACGCAGCGGGGATGGAGGGTGATGCGACGCAAGAGGTCAAGAGGGTGAGGGGCACTTACAGTACAAAACGGTCTTGCTCAACGTCATGAGGGCGGCGCCCCAGCCAAGCAAGAGGGCGAGGCCGCCTTCGCGGCCCCGTACGCTGCCATCGGCGGCCTTGTTCTTGTTCCAGAGGTAGACATAGGCGATGTACATGACGGTCTCAATGACGTTGAGGGTGCCCTGCGCACTAGTGAAGCCATTACCGGCGTTGAAAGCTTTCCAGCCGTAGATATGGTCGACCTCGCCGTAGAGCTTGTAGGGCGTCCAGATGGGCCAGTGAAGGCTGCCGCCCTCCATGGTTAGAGGTCGACCAAGCACGTAGCCGGTGTCCCAGGTGACGAGGGGCAAGGAGACTGCGAGCCAGAGGAGGGTGAGAGCGGTGGGGGTGTGCGACCAGGCGGACGGCGCGGCCGAGACCGAGGCCGAGACCGAGGAGGTGGTTCGGGAGGCCGCCTTGCGGGAGCGCGGGGTCTTGGCCGGAGTGGGCAGCGTCTCCGGGGTGGAGTTGAGAGCGACGGAAGAGGAGCGCGTGGAAACCATATTGGGCGGGTCGCGGGGGAAGGCAGACAAGTTCTGGGAGCGGGTGGATGCTTCGGGGGAGGGAGGAGGCAGAAGAAGCAACTTCGGCCAGCGGTGGTAGCAGCGGGAGAAGCTGTTGTTGTGGTCGCTGTTGGGTTTACTTTGGTTAGGCGGCGCGGGATTGAAGCTTCGGAAAGCGCAAGGCGAAGAAGGGAGAGGAATTTACTCGAGGGGGTGTGAGGATGGGAGGGGCTGGAGCTGGTAGGGGGAAGGGAAAAGAGAGGGGTGATTTCCAGGTCAGGGAAGGGGAAAACAAGATGAAGGAAAAGAGATTATTTACTTTCTAGTGTCACATTGGCTGAGAGATGGATCTGGCCGCCGCTAATATTTTGCTATGGACGAACCACAAGACACGTAGTGCGTAGTGTATACACTACTTGGACGGGTGTTGGATGGGATGGGTGAGATGGTGCGAGCTGCTCGCTCTCTCTGGGGTCGGTCGCTCGTGCCGGATGCGAGTTGTGCCGAATGGGTTAGCCCGATTCCTTGGCAGCGAGGAAAGTCCCAAGGGCGGATAGACGCTGCTAAGCTCTAGAGGTGGGAAGGCGCCAGGTGCAGTGTGTGCTGACTTTACAGGTGAGGGGAACCCAATATCGGGTTTTTCGGTACTTCCCCATTCCCCTGCTCGCCCCTCGTTCGCACTTGGCTCCGTCTGGGGTAATTACTCGTACATTAGGCCCTTGCGGGAACAAGCTCGTTCGTGGAAGTCGCCAACGAAGCATCGACGTCTCCATTATGAATGCACCCCGATCATTGCTGCAATGGTCAAACTAACGGTTTAGGAGGCCGCATTGTGAAGCCGGCGACACCTACATATTGATCTTTGTATCAATATGCAAGAAGTTGCATCTAATCCATCCAAGCGGTCGGTAAGCCGAGTCGTGGACACGCGAGAATATGCAGCGCAATATACACGACGTTCGAGCTTTTTGTTGGTTGGCACGCGTTCTAGGCGAGGCGGGTTTCGCGTTCGGCGGGCAGGCTCGAGAACGGTTTGTTTTCCTTGTTTCCTCGACTGTCCCTGACATCAATTGATCAATCGCCGTCGCGCCGAGGCTTTCGCCCATTGTCGCCCATTGTCCCAGAGCATTTTGATTGTCGATCCTCAAACACCCCTCCATTGCGATGGCAGTTCTTGGTGATGCAAATTGGCTCGCATTGAGGATTGAAACGAAGTTCTTCGCCTTGGCAGAGGCAAGCGCCATAGCTGCAGACCTTCTCACCTTTGTTAATTGATGCACCTATTTTGGCACATTTTGGTTGTTATTTAGCAATTTTCTCGCACACCTTGTGGAGATGCCTTTTCTCTCCCCCTTTCTTTTCTTGGGATGAGGGCCTCTTGTCTATCATCTCAAAGGACGACGTTCTTTTCTTCTTCTTTTTCTTATGTAAAAACCAAAAATCGGCCCGCAAAGCCGACTCACATTCCTTCTCGTCTCATCTCTCATCCCTCGATGTTCTAGCCCTGGGGCAAAAACTGACACAGAACAAGCGAGAGTCGGCCCACGGCAGCTGACAGTTGGAGTTGAACGAGTTGCCGGTTCCTGCGGTAAATGTCTGGTCTCAGGTTCTTCTCTCTCCGCCGATCGACCGGCCTTGTCAACCTCCGGCTCCACCCTTTGGCTGGCCGAACCGCGTGGGCATTTTACCCGCCAAAGAAACGGCTAGAATGTCTCGTCCCTAACTTCGGAGCCTCTCTATTCTCTCTTCCTTCTCTTGCTCCTGCTCCTCTCCCTACTGCATCTCGTCCTGCAGCCGTGAGATCTTCGTTGCTTCGGCCGGCAAAACGTAGGAGTCACGAGGTGGGCCCAAGTGTGGATGAGACACGAGAGTGATGGCAAAGCCGTGGAGTTGTGTGGTAATGGGTGGTAAAGGCCACCCGCGACCTGGACGGCAAGCAAAAATTCCAGGGAACAGCGAAGATCCGATTAGAAAATGAGCCCTCGGGCTGTTTACGGCTCTTCCTCTGGTATGGGATTGGAAACATGCTAGGGCCCCAGGAGTCCCTTTTTTTTCTTGCCTTCTTCTTCGTGCTTCCTTGCCCTCGTCCTATTTTCCCTCCATTCGTCCCTCCCTTTGGGGCGGGTGCCGATAGCCAGCGACCCCACGTTCCGTGACACGCTCTCGGCGATCTTACATGAATCAAATCCCGCTTATATGCGATGGATGGCAGCGCGAGCGCCGTTTTCGCTCAAGGGACCACGTAAAACATGGCATTATGGAGAAATGATCGAGGCGATCTGGGCCAGCTGAGAGATCGGGGGAACCACAAGAGGGAGAAGAAACAAAAGTTCTATTTAGCACGAGGCTGGCTATCAAGGCAAGGGGGAGGGGGTTGTCAACCCTAGTGCGCGACTTATAAGAGTACGACGGTTCCACCATCTCATGTCGCGGAAAGAACGTTATCCTAGCTCAAGGTCTGTGATCCTACCGATTCGCCCACTCTCTTTTGACGACAGTTCGCTTCTCTAGGGATTCAGTGTTTCCCTCCCTTTTTTCTTATATAATTCTTTTTTTCTCTCGTCCCTAATACTTCCTTCGTTGGGGAAGAAGAAAAGATGTCGTCTCGAGTGGTAGCTGCGCTACCCTATATCGCGTCCCTCTGCGCGGTGGCCTCGGCCCAGCAGATTGGTACTGCCATCCCCGAGGTGCATCCTCGTTTCCCCACCTTCCACTGCACCACCGATGGAGGCTGCGTTGAGAAGTCTACGTTCCTCGTCACGGATGCCCTGGCGCGGTCGTTCCATGCCGTCGACGACATGGACATCAATTGCGCGGAGAAGCCTTTCGACGCCACCATCTGCCCTGACGAGGCGACCTGCGCGCAGAACTGCGCGCTGGAGGGCATCGACTATGCCAGCATTGGTGTCCTGACCAGGGGCACGTCTCTGACGATGAGGCAATACCTATTCGATGGCCAAGAGTACAGCAGGGTCAGCCCGCGCGTGTACCTGCTGGCCGAGGACGAGGAGACATACGAGATGATGAAGCTCGTCAACCAGGAGCTTAGCTACGACGTGGACGTTTCGCAGCTCGCGTGCGGCATGAACGGGGCTCTGTATCTCTCGGAGATGGATCCTACGGGGTCCAAGAGCGCTACAAACGTGGCGGGCGCCGCGTACGGCACGGGTTACTGCGATGCCCAATGCTTCGATGTTCCGTGGATCAACGGCCTGGTACGTGACTACAATGCACACATCTACCCCTACGGTCGGCCCCGTCCTTCTATCAGAGTAAACGCTAACCTAGAGGCAACTCCCCGCTCTCGTCTTTTTATAGCCCAACATGAACAGCTCGGGAGCATGCTGCAACGAGATGGACATCTGGGAGGCCAACTCGCGGGCTACGGTCTACACGCCCCACACCTGCAGCGGTGTGGGCTCCTTCCTCTGCGCGGGAGATGACTGCACGGCTACGGGAGTTTGCGACAAGGCGGGCTGCGGTATCAACCCGTTCCGCAGCGGGTTTGACGACTACTACGCGCCCGGGGTGACGTTGACACGTCGAAGCCCTTCACTGTGGTGACTCAGTTCATTAGCGACGACGGCACGGCGACGGGCACGCTCAGCGAGATCCGGCGGTTGTACGTGCAGGATGGCAAGGTGCTAGAGAACCACCCGATCTCGACCGATGCCACGGACCCGGGATTCCTGACGGAAGAATTCTGCACGGATCACAACGCGGAGCATTTCCTCCGGCTCGGAGGCATGAAGGTCATGGGCGAGTCTCTCCAGCGCGGCATGGTGCTCATCTTTAGCATTTGGAACTCGGACGGAGACTTCATGTCGTGGCTCGACAGTGGCGAGTCCGGCCCGTGCCTGGAAGGCGAGGGTGATCCTAAGAAGATTTTGATGGCTCGGCCGGACGTCTCGGTCACCTTTTCCAATGTCAGGTGGGGGACATTGGTTCGACTTTCGACTCGGCCGGCGCGAAGCAGGTACCGGGTCTTGTCTCTGCCGCCCCGCCATGGAGCAACCGGGTGCAGCTGGCGATTCCAGCCCCGCGGCCGTGACGGTGGCGGCGGCGGGAAGCCTCGCGCCCTCCGTGACCGTTGGGCTTTTGGCACTGGCGGCGGCCGCGCTTTTGTAATCGGGAGAAGGGGGTTTTTTCGTCTCGTCTCGTTTCGGTTCGTTCCCTCACCTGGATCTGGATGGATCAGGCCGCATGTATAATTAGACTTTAGCTCAGCAGAAATCATGATTTTAAACTTTGGACAAAGCAGGCCCGGCAGGTGAACAGAAGCACATGGGCAGGCTGGGGAGGGAGACCTAGGGCAAGGGTACCCGGTAATCTGGGGGAGGGGGCGAGGAATGATGGAATAATCACGGCATGGCAAGAGAGGATCTCGAGGTTGCTGGAGCGAGTGCTCCGCAGCAAGACTCTTTGATGGGCTGACATTTTCCTTTAGCCTCCCTGTACGTTCATTTTAGAATTACCACAGTGCTCCTCCCCGCTCCCATTATTCCTCGATAACTGCGGTGCCCTGTTTGGCGTTGGATGCCTTGTGCAGTCGAGTGAGCGCACCTGATGGTCCACTCGGGTCATGCGCAGCGTCACTCCACATCGGGCGAGGGGGCGTTCCTTTTATCTCGAGTAGGCTCTTGGTGTTTTTGCGGAGGCCATCGATGCTTTGGAGTCGTGTGCTTGTCTCGACAAAGCTAAACTCTAAAGCATCCCCCTTCTTCATCACTCGAGTAGATACACACACACGCACCACACCACACAGTCTCGATGCTGGGCAGTCGCACTTGGGTGACGAGTGTGTGTGTGTGTAAACCCGATATATATATATATCTGCCCATTCATCGAGATTCAGACTTGGTCCCTCTTTGGAGAGTCCAGAAAATACTGAACAACTCATTTTACTGAATCAAACACAAACTCTAAAGCATAAATACAACGAATCGAGACTCATTCTTCCCTTTTCGACTACGAAGCATTTTGAATCTCGAACCAAACGACAAACGACAAACAACAACAACAACAACAACAACAACAAAACTCACACACACACATACACGCTATAAAGCAAAGCAATAGCAAATGCAAACAACAATAACGATAACACATCCCCACACCGCGCTCGCCTCCCATGGCGTGGACAACCCCGACTCAACCGCATCCGCGGCGCCCTCGTGGGCCTCCACGCCGGCGACGCCCTAGGCGCCACGTGCGAGTTCATGTCCTGGGAAAACCTGCGGTCCAAGTACCCCCGGGGCTTACGAGACATTGTAGGCGGCGGGCCCTTTGATTCACCCCGGGCCACGCCACCGACGACACCGACCTGACCCGCGCCGTGCTCCTCGCCTACCTCGACCTCGCGCGCACGCGGGCAGCCGGGGGCGAGGACCCAGACATGGCCAAAGTCGCGGGCGGATACATGGTGGACTGGCTGCTGGGCAACAACTGGCCGGAGCGCCGGAACGGCACGCGGCCCCCGACGTCGGGGGCGCCACGCTCATGGGCTTAGAACGGTTCCAGGAAGCCGGATGGGAGCCCAAGGGGTGCGGCGCGGGACCGGGCCAGGCGGGCAACGGGTCGCTGATGCGGTGTCTGCCCACGGGCCTGTTTGAGAGCGACGAGGACAAGATTGTGCGGGACTCGATGGGCATCTCGGCCCTAACCCACGACGACGAGCGGTGCACCGTCAGCTGCGCCGTGTACAACCTCATGGTGAAAGCGCTGGTCGAGGGCCGGTCCGCCGAAGAAGCCATCGAGGCGGGTGTCGCGGCCGCGCGCCGACTCGAAGGCGACCGACCCAGCGGCGTGGCCGACGCCATCGAGCTGGGCCGACGGGTATCGCTGGCGGAGCTGGCGGAGCGAGGCCCGCGCGAGTTTGCGGGCAAAGCGTCGGGCTACGTGCTCGAGTCGCTCGCCATCGCGGTGGCGGCGCTGCGGGACGGACGGGCCCTCGAAGACGTGCTCGTCGACGTGGTCCGCATCGGCAAGGACACGGATACCAACGCCGCCATCGCGGGGGCTCGTGGGGGCCCGCGACGGGCTGGCGGCCGTGCCGGAGCGGTGGAGGCGTAAGCTGCAGTTCGGCGACGACTTTTGCGAGACGGCGGCCCTGATCGACTTGTCCATGGCGGCGGCGGCGCGGCGCGCCCTCTACGACGACGAGCATGGCTACGGGCACGGCAATGGGTATACGCATGGGAACGGCCGCGCTTCGGGCAATGGGTATAGCAATGGCTATGATCACGGCAACGGTTACGGCAATGGCTATGCTAATGATAATGGCTACGTTCATGGGAACCGCCATCGCAGCGGCGACGTGGCGCAGATGCATGTGTGAGACTAACACGGCGAGGGGCTATTTTCTTTCCTTTTCTGTTCTTTTTTTTTTTCCTTTTTCGTTTTACAGCTCCTTGCTGGCCCATGACCCCATGATTTAGTGTATACCAGTCCGTCCGTCCTTTTGGACTCGTTCTTTCCCCTCATCAACATCTCTGGGTGATTTTGCTCAGTATGAGGGAAGAGGCGGTACAATAGCGCAGCAACACAGGATCGCCGTTATGCTTTTGTTGCAGCACCTTTTGTTTTCTCTTATAACTTATTTTATATATTTTTGTTTTCCTTCTTTTTGGTTACTCTCTCCCCTACCAGATAGCAGATCACAAGCACACCCAACATCAGCCCTGTCCATTGGCGTTAGAGGATATCGGGGACCGGACGACGGGGATCGACGAGAAATAGGCCGGAAAGAGTCTGACTAGCAACAACGAGTCCCGCTTTCTAGGGGACCCCCGGAAACATGGCAAGTTTTTGCTCCACGCCCCCATCGCCGGGGGGACGGAAAAGAAGCGCAAGGGAAGAAGGCAAAAAAGTAAAATTGGATTTGAATTTCACGCCGCGTGGTGGATCACGGGAGCCACGAGGGAGACGTAGCCAGTATTAGTACGAAGTAGTAAGGTAGTGGAAGGAGACGTCAACGGTGGGATGATGATATGATGACAAGACCATATATGGCTACATATGATACACTGCGTCACTGAAATAGCGAGGGAGAAAAAAATTGATCTCTTTTACTCAACGAGACACATTGCGCCTCACAAACGTTGGTGACTTTTTAGGTATGAAAAGGACGGCAAGGGATATCAATCATATGACCGAACGCAAACGCCCTTTTCATACCTAAAAGTCTCTTTCCCTATGTTTCCTCTTCGCTATCGTTCGAAAAATAAGAGGAAGAGACACGGGGGCACTCTTCGTTTCCACCAGTGACCAAGCGCGTGATGTCGTCCAGACTGATTGACATGACAGCACATTATTGATTCTCAGACACTAGAACCTTGTCATCTTCCCGTTGCGATGGCCGGTGAGAGGCTGGAGAGGAAGGGTGTGTGTGTACACATACATTGATACATGTAGCCAACCAGCCCGTTCAATCAACCCAAAGCAGGCGGGCAAGGATTCCATGTACGGGACCCAGAAGTTGTCACATATCGCAAATTCCCCAATCTCGCTCCCGCCATTCTTACCTGCCACTCGCCTTCAGGGGTGTCCTCCCCGGGACACGCCACGCGAGCAAGTAGTTCGTAACTCGATCATGGAACAGGGGGAGATGCGAGCCTCACGAAATCTTGGATTCTCGTTGATATTTTGTTCAAAGTGTTGGGTGATTCACACAAAGATCTCAATTGGAGCTCGCAATTCGTGTAGACCCCTGCCCGAACCAAAAACCCTCCCGCCCGCCCAGGCGTTGGTTGTCAAGGCCTCACGTTGCCAAGAGAGAAATTACAACGGGTTATCCCATAATAATGCGGGACCCAAACGCGGAAACGAAGAGGAGAGAGGAGAGAGGGAGAAGGGAGAAAGGCTCAAGGTTCTTTCAGCCCTTCCACCTCGCCATGGCTACATGCATCCAAGATGACGACCTGTTGCCGCACCCAAAGATTGTCTCGGACCGGAACGGGGAATTGGCTCCAGTTCCGGCCCACCTCCTCCCCTTTGTCGCTCGCCCTCGCCCTCTCCCTCTCCCACCCTCTCCCTCTCAAACGGTTGGAAAAAAGGGCACGTCAAGAAAAGTGAAGAGGAACTGGAGAGAAAAAGAACGGCGAGGGATTTTGCTTCTTTCCGAAAAGATAAATCTGCAATGTGCTGGGCTTTCCTGGGAGGAAAGGACGGAGGGCAAGGCCAGGCTTGGTTACATTCTGTGCTTTTCTTCTCCCCTGCTTCCCACCTCTCCTTCATTACACGCAGTTTTTCAATGCAATTAATCCATGGATTCGTGTTTACCGGACAGACAGACCCCTTGCCAAGCCCGTCCATGGCGATCAAGAACCAGAGAACCTGTTCCACTTCTACACTCTTCGGGAGCAAAGTGATTGAGATGATGAAACATTGGTATATTGCAAAGGCTAACATCTCAAAAGAAGCCAAGAAAGGAAAATCGGTCATATCGCACATGAGTAAACAAATAACAAAAAAACAAGCATGATAAAAAGCTTTCGCCAACATCCCGAGTCTTCAAGTAGCAAAACTTATATCTCGGAATGGATATGAATAGTCTACACACAATATCTAACACACGGCAAAGGTCGCTCGTAAAAAACACCCAGTTAACCCCGTGCCCAGAAAGGAAAGAGAGACAGATCAGCAAGGCAGAAAGGGCGGCGAGAGCACACCGTGAGCTGAGCAGAAAGGGGGTATGTGTTGTTCCTCCTGTACTCGTCGCTCGCTTGTTCGTGGCCCATGCCTATTCAGCCCTTTCCACCTCCTGTACTTTTGTATTTTTTAATGTTCGCTTGGGGAAGATGTCGCTGGCGCGGTGCCTATTTACGCGGGGAGGATGTCGACGGTGCTGTCACCATCCTTATCCTTCTCACGGCGGCTGCCCGCGCTGATCTCGGTGCTGTTGTAGGGGACAGGGCCGAGGGTGATCGACGTCTCCGTCCACGTCTGGTCCACCGACTTCTTGCTCTTGATGTAGCCTGATCGGCTGAGGTTATACTTCTGGCTGGTGGCACCCGACGAGCCTTCCCTGGCCGCCCTAAGCGCCTTGGGCGTGAAGAGAGGCTTGAGCGCGGGGGCGGAAGCGCAGATGATGGCAATGTTGACCTCGAGGACGGACCAGAGGTTGACGAGGATGCTCTGCTGGAACGGGTCCTCAGCAAGCGTGTACGTGTAGATGGTGTGGAGACGGATGATGGAGGTGATGGTGGCGAAAGTACCAACGCCAAAGATCAAGATGAGGGCAATCTTCTCCTTGCGAGGCCTGTTAATCTTCATCAGAGCCTTGAGAGGGAGGGCGATGATCCAGATATCAGTGATGATATTGAAGCCAGAAGTGACTATAAAAGAAATCCGGACATGTTAGCAAAGCTCCGATTTCTCGACATCTCAAAGAGAGATCCACCCTCGCGCGTCCCAACGAGCGAGGGAGGCGGGGGGCTGCGGGGGCTGCGGGGGAAAGAAAAAGAAAACACCTACAGTAGAAGAAGGCCGTGGTGTTGATGCAAGTTCCCTCAACGGTTCCGGTCAAATCCCACATCTTGTTGATCGGTCGGCACTGCAAAGCAGTCACGAGAATGCAAATGACGAAGAAGACAACGTGGAAGGCAATGGTGCCATAGGCCAGCATGCGCGAGGTGTGAGAAGCCACTGCCAGAGACTGTTAGCGCGCGGGGAAAAACGAGAAGAAAATGGATTTGAGCGCCAAGGGCAACTTACAGAACCGGAGGTACATGCACAAGATGGAGATCTTGATCGCACTGACGGCGCCATAGTAAGTGAGCTGAATGGCGAGAGTAACCTTGATCAAGTTAAGCATGTTGTCCAGGCTGAGGGTGGTGATGGAGAAGCCCATGTGGTTCGCCCTGCCCACCATGACCTCGGCAAAGTAGCCCATGCTAAGGATCATGGCGGCCAACATGAGATAATCGTCCCAACCGCCCTTGCGAATGAGGATAAAGCGGGTTATCGACCGGAGGGCGACAACAACAACTAAGCACACACAATCGAGAATTAGCAACTACTCCTACACATATCGCATATCGAGACGGTGGTGCCCTCGCCATGCGCGCGCACCGTGTCGCATAGCAGTCCCACGGGAAAACGGCCAACACAGGTTGCGAAGAAGGGTTAGTTGATGTGGCAGGGCTTACAAGCAATAGAAGTGAAGAGCGCGGTGGTGATGACCAGGCCATCCTGGCGTTGCTGATCGGTTTGACCCATGATGGCGGTGTCTTGTGAGTTGGGAAGCGCCCGTCGCGTAGAGAGGTGTCAGTCAAGATCCCCTCGCCGTGAGAGCGAAAGATGAAAGATGTAGAGCGGTGGTTGCGCCCGAAGTCGTCAAGTCGAGCAGCGACAGAAGTGAAATTGGGAGGGAGTAGCGTTCGTTGTCAAGAGAGCCAGCTTCCTGGAGTCGTCTCGGTGTGGATCCTGGCCGGGAGGAGAGATGTGGGTGGAGAGGAAGGAGGGCGAGTGGATGATATAAGTATTTAGATGGAGATACTTGACAAGACAGAGGCAGCGACGAGGAGCATGATTCCCTTTTCGAGAAGTGCGTCCTAGCGTTTATCGATGAGGAAATAGTGTGCCCACTCGGCTCGAGTGGTGTAGACTTTCTTTTTCTGCGTCTCCGTTTGGCCCGCTCGCTTGTGGCGTTTTTTTTTTTTTTCTTGTTCCCTTTCTGTTCTGTCCCCCTCTTAGCTCTTCGCGTCTTTTTCGCTTATCCGCTGGAGGGATGCTCGTGCGCAGAACGACAGGACAGGCCCTTCAAGCTTTGGGTGCGTCAATGGGAGGTAAAAAGTCGATGGGGGAACCAGAAAGGAAGAAAACTTGGCTAGCCAGCTTCGGGAGAGGCATTGGCAGCTTCAATGGATGTAACACGGGCAAGAGGCGGCCAGGGTGAAGGAGGGGCCTGATGCAATGGAAAAACGTCCGTGCTAATAGTTCACATCCGTTATTGCTCTCCTCTCCTCTTCAATTTACTTCGTACCCCCGACACGGATATTCATCTTCGCCTGGCAGGCCGGGGAAGCATGAACAATGATCGACCTCCGGCCTCTCTGTCCAATGCCATGTACCCAAGCGGAAAGCGGGAGAGCGCGAAGGGGGGAGGGGGTGTTCGTTGGGAGGGGAGGGAGGGATGCCACAGGGGCAGCCGTGGGAAAGGGGAGGGGGTCTGGAAAAGGAGAAGGGTGGTGGGAGGAGACAAGCAGAGGATTCGATGGTTAGAAAAATGGCGCTGGCAGAGGGTCAAAACTGGGTGGAAAAAGAAGCGAGAACCACGCCAATTTTGGAGACATCGGCCCTCCACCACCATCAGCGCCCGCAATGTACCAGAGAGTAACAATGGGTGATGCTGCCCGTCCCCTGGAGAGAACGACATTACGCGGGCGACCAAGCGTGCTCACAATCTTCGAGCCTGCCGGTGTCCAAGTACTCTCCATGTATCTTGGCAAGTGCCAGAGAGCCGGGAATGCATGCGCACGCAGTTGCAGGGTTTTCTGTGAGGAACAAGGCAAGTACACCATCGGCCGAAGTGGGGCCATTAACGGGACCAGCTCTCCTAAAAAGTGCGCCACGGTATCAATGTACGAAGTACCCTGTCGGGGACTCCTCTCTGGCTGGCTTTGTTCGGGCTGGCCTCCGAGACTAGTGTAGTGTACCTGGACACTGTGAGTGGACTGGAGTGTACAAGCTGAGCCATGACGGGTACTCCGTAATCCGGGATGATGTGCCAATTGCCCAATGAGAGGAAATCCTGGCCTTCGGATCGATATCCACCAAACTGACCATCAGAGAGCCAGGAGGGAGTGGTCCAGATGGTTCATCCATCGCCACACTGACGGCAATGTAATGCACTGCCAATCCCTCGTCAATGGGCGTCATTTTTCTGATGAAATCCGGCTCCACGTGCAGCCACGAGAAGATCTCTCCTGTCTGCAACGGTGGTGTGCACTCGATGCAGCACGGAAACAACATGTGCGGGTGTGTGATCAATGTGTGTGTGTGCGCGTGTGTGTCTGCAAGTGTGTGACAAGCCTGGGGAAGATTCCATGGAGAACAGTGAATCTTCCAAGAGAACAAGCTAGAGTCCATCGAGTGTGGTGGGGAGGGCTTGGTGAGGCGTAGAGGAGGCCGTGCGTTCGGCCCCCGAGCCCTAATTCGTGTTCTTTCTGAGTCGAGCAAGGGAGGCCCCTATGCCGATTCGAAAGTAACGAATAATACCCTGAGCACACCTTCGAATCGTTCCCAAGCACCCATCCCATAGCTCTAGCGTACTTGTATTAGTGCACTCTTGCTGATGTCGTTCGTCAAGCAGATGGATTTAGCTTTGACGTCTTGGCGGCGCAGGCCCAATACTGACTGCCACCGTCTGGCCGACTAGCGTAATACTTGGAGGAAGTGACGGGGGAGAGCATTTGAAGCTAGTCGACAAGGGGGTTCGTCCCTCTCGCTGTTCCTCTGAGCTTGAGCGGCGACCATTATGGTGTGTGAGCTGTGGAGCGATCCTTAATGGCAGGATCAGCATCCGGCATCTGTCAATGCATCAATGCCTGTCAGGGAGTGATCACCCAAATTCTTTTGTGCGCTGGGCGCAAAAGAGTCAGTTGGAGCCCACTCCTTCCAAGCGCAGAAGCTTGGTTCTAGCGGCTGAGTCGCCGGGAACAGTCGATCCCATCAAGTCAAGAAGCCATTCATGGCATCGAGATGAGCTGTTCCCCGTGGACTGAGCTGACAGCAACATCGGCTCGCTTCCCCTCTCTCCTCGGCCTCTGGAGCAGAGTGCAGCTGTAGGAAATTTCCACACAAGTACCTACCTCCCTCCCAAGAATTCCTCCATCCTCGCTTCTTCTTCTCGGCTGGGAATGGATGCTCAGACGTGTGTTGCGGTGGTGGGATATTTCGGGGTATCGAATGGTTATCTCATCCCTGCATCCTTGTTCTATTGAGCGCCCGAGCCAGAGTTGTTCGCCTCCCAGGGTCGAGGGTCTTGCCTTGCTCTCAGATATGCGGCCGTGCCCACAGACGAGATTACCCAATCACTCAACCATCAACCACGGCCTTGGAGCGGAAACCGCACCAAAATCGTGCACCAACCCACAGCTCAGTCTAATACTATCCATGCCAATAGGAGAGAGGGTGATGGCCTCGGGGCGGGGGAGAGAACGGACACTGCGCGGATTAGCTCTCGGATCCGCCATCATCATAATAAGCCATAGTCACGAAGGGGCCCGAGCGACCGGGCAAAGAGGAGAGGGGAAAGAAAGAAAGAGGAAAGAAGAACAAAAAGCCATCCATCGACCCTTGGAGTGGTGAGGGTCAAAGCACATCTGGTGGGGCAATGGCGAGCATGATAGAGCGCTCGCCGCTTGGAGGATCAGGTCGTCGGTCCAAGCCAAGGCACTGTCAATGTCAACCAAGTCCACGTCCCACATCGAGGTACCAGACATTTCTTGGCAAGCGGCGGGTGTCAGATTCTGACGTGCAAACGGGAGAGAAAGTGCTGTGGCTTGCAATAAAACCCGCCTTGTATATTTCGAGCCCCTCTCCGCTCCTGCAACCGCCAAGGGCCATTTCAGGCTGTAGGTTGGCCTGAGAGGCGGCCAGAAACACCCAAAAGTGCTTTCCTCACTCGGAGCCTCCACCCAACCTCCGTGCAAGGTTGCACCTGCTTCCCTCTGTGAACATGGAAAAAGGGCTCCAGTTTCATTCCTCACACATGATTGCACTCGCTTAATGGGGAGGGGCAGTGAATAACAGAGGTTCTTTTTCTCATACCCCCGCTATGGCGATGGGGAATGCATCCAGCCCGCATGGTCGGTTTTGGCGCAACGTTTCGCCATCTGCCTCAAAACATTTGAAATATTCAAGCCCTTTGTTCCGAATACGCCAGTTTCATCGTAAAGAATGGGGCCATGGTGAAGTGGAAAGAAGACGAAGAAAACCAGATAGATCCACACACCGACCGCCCCGCCCCGGTGCGCAAAGCTCACCTTCCTCTTCTAACGGAGCGAAATGGCCATTGGGGTTACTTGTGGAAGGTTCATTCGTTTCCATTTCGTCGGAGACTCAAAGATAAGTGGGAAGCCACCACTCTGGTTGGTTATTGCCGTCACGATAAAGCTGGGTTTCAATGGCGGAGCAATAAAGGAGGGGAGACGGGGAAACCCACCTCCACGGCAAACTTGGTTCAAGGCTATCCTCGTCTCGTCGATCATTAGATAAACTACCAAGTCGATAGATCCGTGGTGCCATCCCCCTCTACTATTTCTTTGCTTTCGCGGAAGATCTCGGCCGGCCCTTGCCGGTACAGCACTGAAGGAACCCGCTCCAGGGGAGGCTAGTCGAATTTTATTTATTTATTTTTCGTTTCTATCGGCTCGCTGGGCTTGGACGTTTTACCCTAATCAAGGCTGCCGATACCACTACAGGTACGAAGTCGATGCATACGCAACACGATCTCATCTACCGGCCCTGAAAAGGTCTCGCTCTCCTTTGAACTTGTGAAATCCTGGTGATAGGTGATAATTGGGTGGGGGCTACCGCCCAAGTCGATGGTGGACTTCGTGTCATACCAAACGAACAAGCCTTTGTGCCCTTGATGATGCAGTTGGCAAAGCACCAACTTCGACCACCTCGTCTGTGACCGCGCACGGGGCGGCTGCGATCCTTCCGCTCAAAAGCATGTTTGCATGGTATGGTAGAGTGGAGGAGACGCCTTCTCTAGTCGTGGGGAAGGCTCCTTGATGCAGATTCCTCTGTTGTGCACGAAGTCTAATAACTATGTCTCCTAGTTAACGGACGGCTTTGATTCCATGGAAGAGGGACAGCTGGGGCCTGCCTGTCAGAGGGTATACACCCTAGCCCGTTCAATCCCTCTCTTCATTTTTTGTTGATGTATTATTACTTCGTACGTGAAGCGAACCGATCCCAGTCGCTAACATGGATGCCATACCGTCACCTTGACGCTAAACTAGCGTGCTGAGGTTGGAGGAGTGGAGATTCGCAATTTGTGGGGCTTGCCCATCGCGGAAGAGGGATCAGTTCCGTTGCCTGTGAACAGACACATGATCGACGGGGTCAGAGCTGTCAAAAGATGGTAGAAGCGATGATTTTAGTGTACGCTACACTTCCTCAACTCCGAGAACATTCCTAGGGCTGCGAGCTCGCGCTCAGGCTCGATCTCTCAGTCGCCTTGATCAAGCTGCGCGAGAAAAGAGGGA